CCATAAGGGTGTGGGAGATATGGGGGTTGAAAGTAGTTGACTTCGAAAATGTGTAACAATGGAAGTGTCAATAATGAAAGTGTTAACAATGGAAGTGTTAACAATAGAAGTGTTAAAAGAAAGTGGCGTGCAAGATTTACTGGTGCAGATGTGGTTTTTTGCATTTTTGCAGGAAATCGAACTTATTTTTAGACCCATGTAAAAATTCTCTAATTAGTCTGGAAATGGGGGACCTAATTCTTGTATTCTGTGAAAATGGGTAAGATTAGCTATAATGTAATCTTAAATGTTTTCAAATAGTCGAAAATGTTTTGGAATAGTCAAGGACTGTTGTGTGTGAGTAATGAGGATGGCTTTTGGAGACATGTGACGCACATGCTTCAGTTGATTTTTCATAAGTAAAAGTGTACGAATAACAGAAAAAAGTAGAAAGTGAAAAGTGAATAGGGAAGTGTGAAAAGTAAAAATATTGTTAAGTTCAATTGTAACACATGTCAGGTGTGTGGATGTTTTCACATGTTGATGGACAGTCCACAGCTCTGTCACACGTGTCAGGTGGGTGATGTAGTAGCATCCCTAAGAATGCGGGGTGAGATTGTCCCGCCTAGATAGGGAAAATTTGTGTGCTTCCCTTTGTGTGGGTTGAATCAGAGTTGTGTGTGGAGGCAGTACTGAGGGGAGTGCTGACCAGGTAGCTGACCAGTGTGCTACCAGAGTGGGTAAGTGTGGCTGGTCAAGAACCAATGTTGTAATTATCAATAATTGTCAGGTGCCTGAGTGTTGCTCGATTGTGGAGTGCCAAAGTGTCACTCACTCATTTGAGACATTAAAGTTTAATTGTGTTGTTATTGTTAGAAAGGAACTGTGTACTGTTTTTCAGATCGTGTAAACGGGAACATTTTACACCATCATCACATCATTTTTATACAACAAATATAAAAAGCAATGCCAAAACATAAGAAAGAATTTTTGTGGTCTCGAATCATATCAAAACAAAAATAATCAGACAGAAGAGCAACTTGAATATTATAGGGAAACACATCGAACTAGAGAAAGATTATGTAGAGGAAGAGAAACAGTCTTTTATATATATGTAAACTATATTACATATAAATGTATGAACAAATAAAAACCCAGCAAAGTGGGTACTTGCAGCTAGTAATTATATACAAAATCTGATTGTCTTTTGTAAAAATATATCTATCTTAAATTTATCCAGTATAGATAAAAGTTTTTATTTGGTCATCATCTGTGGGAAAGAACTAGGCAAATTGTTCCAAAATAAAATGGTATTGAGCTAAACAAAGTTCTAAAATGCTTTAAATAAGATGTTGAGTTTTCCTATTCTGTAAGCTACATAAAGAAGGATAAATGCCACTTTAAGATTGTTTTCACTTAAGCAAGATGGTTTGGATTTCTATTATAACTTATGAAGTTTTACAGGGACTTTCATAGATGGACACATATGTGAGATGTTCACAAAGTTTATTGTATTTAATAATAGTACTTTGATCTGTTTTATAAATAAATTTAATAAATTCTTTTGATAATGTACTTTTTATTAATTACTTTTAATGAAAATTCAAATAATTGATGTTTTAATTTAATGAATCATTTATGCTAATCTTGGTCATTTCTGTTACATGTTAGGATATGCATTTTGCTATAGTAATTGTATTACTTCTATCACCTATCAAATCACTTGATACAAATCTGTGATCAAAATGAAAATAAAAAACTACATATGATTGACTGTACTTTTTAACGATGCTTAGATAATGTCAACAGTAAGACCCAACTTAACATGGGGGATATATTCCTAGACAACAAAGTGCTAAATGAAACGGTGTTAAACGAGGTTATCTTAACACAGTAAATAGGGAAATAAACAGATTTTACTTTAATTTTAAGTTATTTTATAGTTCAAACACTGTAAGTCTGGAATATATTATATCATAAAAACACACACAATTGAATCTTAAAAGTGAAATTCCAGAAAAGTTTAATGCACATAAAACACAAATGTTTTCGATCTACATATAAGATCATCTTCAGGTTAAAGCTTTGTTTTATTTTTTTGTTATACGATATTTCAAATAATCTTAAGAATGTTCCATTTTCCTCACTCAATTTGAGAATGCTTTAACCTGAAGATCTCCTATGTAGATCGAAAATGTTTGTGTTTCATGTACATTAAACTTTTCTGGAATTTTACTTTTAAGGTTCAAATCTGTGCGTTTTTATGAGTTATTTTTTATATTAATTTGCATTATAATATATATTAAATAACACACAAACATATGCACACAGAAATGTAAAGTTCATTTTTTGTGATAAAGGTTCCGACTCTTCTGAAATTCTTGTTTTTTTGCAATAAAGTTGTGTAGTTTCATTTGTTGCTTTCTTTTTCTTTCCTTAAGCAAATGTCGGTAGCAAGAGATTGCATCCAAAACACCTCATCTTGCTTTTGCACTTCTTTCAAAATTTGGATCATTTGCTAGAATTTGATAAATGATTTATGTTATTGTTACCAAACTTTTACTAAGGAAATCTGTAGAGAAATTCTTTGGATTTTTCATTTTCAGAATCATATTCTCCAGTTCTACATAAATTCCTTGTTCTGCCAATTCTTAAAGGTCATCTTTGGTAAGGCTCTCACTAGAAACCTGCAGTAACTCCTCAATATCCTGCTCGTCTCCATCTCCTAGTCCTGCTGTATCGATTAGATTGACAATTTGGTCAACCTAATGATACAGTGATAGGCTCTTCTTGTTGAGAATTCTTGGATACCTCCAGCCTTAACTTCTTCCACACACTGTTAATACGTTTATCAGTTAATTCTTGCCAAGCAAACTCAATATTGCCTATGACATCCATAATGTTATATTTTTGCCAAAACTGCACCAAACAAACATAGATTTAAGGAAAGTACAGCGCTACGACGAATTGCCACCTTTTGTTGATTGGTTCGTGTTCAGGAATAATCGTATTATATAAGAATCAATGAAATGCTGTGATAATTTGAATCAGTGTAAATTTTGAGCTTTTTATTTTTTAGGCTTTGAGCAGACTTGTGTTATATTGAATCAGCATTAATTGAGGTAGTGTTAAACGAGGTCTTACTGTATTTGTATAGTAAATCCAGAATTGAAATTAACATACAAATATTAAGTACTGTCATTTTTTAAAATCATCATCAACTGCTTCCAATATTTGTATTACATCATTGTCAAAAAATAAAGAAAAGAACTCTCATGCATCAGAGAATAAAAATTGCTTTAATAATAAGTTAATTATAAGATCAAACAATAAACCTTCTTAATTACCTTTATATTAAATTAAAACTGTAATCCAATAAATAAAAATATAAGCAAAATTACACTTTTTATCTTGAATAATTCAAATTTAGAAACTGTTATTCTAGTCTGTTATTTCCAGACAGTGATCTTAATGAATATATCAAAATTACTTGAATTATAATTTTTCTTCTTACTATTGTATTTTAGCACTAAAAAGACAAATAGTACAGGTATACCAGAGACAAGTAAATTCGACTTATGTCGTTTTTCGACTTAAGTTGCCTCTCCTGGTAATTGGTTCCAGGAGAGGTGACTTAAGTTGAAAAATGATGAATTTACTTGTCACTAGGCTAAACCACAAATAATCATTCCCAGTTCTGTATTTTACTTATAAATGCATTTTTAATAATTAATATATGGTTAATAAGAATCTCTTTTAAGCTTACAAACAAATAAATTTTAGTTTTTAATATAGTACAGAAAAAAAAGTAATCTAAATTTACAACGTACATATTTGTAAATATATATGTTTACAATTTGGCGATGTTTACAGTACATCACGGACTCTTTATTTGTGAATGTGGTTTGTTCTAAGACATTATAAAATAAGATGATTTTGTAAGGTTAAATAACAAATACAGTTATTAAAATTATTTTACGATAGTAAAAATTAAACTAATTTATGTTAAATTTACCAATATCGAGTGGTGCTGACGATGACACCAAACAGTAGATATTGGAACTACTGTGGAAAATGCCAATATTGAGCTCTTAAAGACCGCTAAATAAGACGACAACACAGAGTCACAATGTTTTCATATTTCGTTCTCTACGATTTATGATGATTATATTAACATTTACTGTAAATGTACGTATTTTAATATGATTTTATGTGCTTTTATCACTTTTCTAGTGATATTACGATTTCAATATTTGTGACGACAGACGTAAAGCCAAATAAAATGACTTAAACTTGATTTTTATTTTTCCATATATTTTTTTGACAAACGACGTATAATCGAGAACGACATAACTTGAAATGACATAACTCAAGGTATACCTGTATTTATAAAAATAAATAGCACCAAAGAACACCTAAAGAAGTGATTATTTATAATCCTGTACACACTTTCTACTAATAAAACTGCCTTGGAAAATAATTGTGCAATTCCTAGAATTATATATCATCACGGTTTGAATATATTACATTACTGCTAATATTGCCAATCGAGGAAGTGTTTAGAAGTTTTACTAGATATCTGTAGCATTTTTCTGGACCAACAAATAAAATCCAAAAGCAGATCAAAGACATTCTCATGTATATGTACTGTACATGACTTACATCTAACATATCGTTTAACACACAAATTGAATCTAGTCCTATAATTACATATGTTAAATTAATACCTTATTTTTATTTTAAATACTTGATATATGTTGATAATTTTTAAGTAAAAAATACATTAAACTATCTTCTTACTGGTGTTACTGGACTTTAAAGGTTCTTGATTGTGTGTAAAAAATATAAGTGTGTATTATCATTATTATTATTACAATAAAATTTATTTTCATAAAAGATTTTATTTTTATACAATTGAATAAATGATAATGGTATAAATTTAAGCAAGATATCAAAAAGTAAATTACAAAAAGAAAAATTAAATATCTTTAAGAATGAGATATAAATTGTAAATCAATTACCTGGAATTAGATGTTATTAAAGATGCCAAAGCAAGACCTAGAAGTTTTCGTCTCTCTACTGGATGAACTACAAGCATATTTTCTAACCAAATATCCAAAAACTTTCCAAAAACTTCTTCAGTCTATTAATATTAAAAAATATATGGTTTATTATGGTTATTCCTTTTTTAACTCTCTACATCATACATTATATATACACACAAATACAAATTCACACATTTACTTTTTCAAAAAAAAAAAAATTTATAAATTCCTATACTGTTCGTTAATCTGATTATACTACATATAATTAGAAATAATTTTTTCCTTTTTACATTTAAAACAGATGGAATTAGAGTTAGAATAAAGAATTAAATTGATTATTATGTTAAAAAATTTATTTTGTGTAAAATGCTTAAATAACACAATAGTATCATGAAATCAGAACTACGTACAGAGCAAAGGGGTTAAATTTTCTTATATGAAATTTAGAAACTTTACAATCTCTCTCCTTCTCATTATTTCCAGAACACAAATTTGCAGAGATTTAAAAGAAATGAAAATAAAGAAATGCTGTGATGATCTGTCTGAATCAGTTAAATTTGATGATATATTCTTGGATTTCTTTTTCCTTTTCAAGTAACTCAAAAAATGTCTTTTTATGATTTCATGATTGCTGGAATTATATATCATCACAGTTTGAATATACACTGACATGCAAAATTTAAGCAACAATGTAATTTTTAAGCAGACAGGCATAAAATTGTAGAAAATGGCTTGTTGCAATCAGTACAATGAACACAAATTCAGTAGAAAAGTGATTTGTATGCAGGAAGAAGACATCACAGGTGATGTGAGGGTACAAAAAATGTGTGAAGTCAGTGTGCACAGGGCAAGACTACAATAACAAGATGGCTTTGATTCCATATTGTACGTATTCTATTCATTTTTGCACTGGTATGCTCTCTTCATCCTTCAAGTACAAAATACTGTGTCTGTATTCTGAATTTCATGTTTTCCAGGTGATTTCTTGCAGAGTTATAGGAAAAAACAATCATTTTGCACACCAATTAGGGTTTCTCATTTCCCAGTCTTTTACTTGTCCTAGGATTTTGGGAAAAAAGTGAACTGTTTCTCGAGATCCCAGGATATAATTAATTATTTTTAAGATATAAAAAATATCTTAAAATCGAATGATATAATTAATTTTCAGTTTTAAAAGTAATTTAAAACATTTTGCAACCTCCAAAATCATATTAATAATAATGCTCTGTAAAATATACATTAAAATTACCTTTGAATTATGTAGAAATTTTCACAAATAGAATAAACTTATTAAAGTTTGTTGGAAACTGCTTACAAAAAAAAATGCCTTTGAATTGAGTTGAAAATTTAAAGAAAAAATGAACTTAGATCAAACTTCTAACTTAGAAGGAAATTTTCGTTTTTTAAATAAAACATAATACAAAATATTATCTTAAATTTTTATAAGATTTTGAAAACCAAAGATGGTCAATACTCTGATCACTCAATCTGGTTATTATTTTAATAATGAAATGTCGTGCTACTGAGAATGCCCTTTTCAATTCAATGTATGTGGGTGGAGTTGTTTTTAATGCATTTAAGAGAAGACAAATGTTATGTGTTTTTTCATCCTTAGCCTCAAAGATTTCTAGTTCATTTTCGACATCTGTTGCAGTATGTCTTTTGTTCTCAAGAATCCTTGATTTCTCTACTTCAGCTGCTTTAATAGCAGTATCAAGCTTATAGCCCGATAATTTGGCAGTATGTTTGGCTTTAATAATCAGGTTTATGAAAGAAAACCTTCATACTTACAGACTTCATGCTCATTTGTATCCTTGCCCAATTTGCACAACCTGGCATTACGCAGTTTTTGAAGCTACTGGGCATGGTTAAAAATTAAGACAGCATAAGCATAATTATTCCAGATACTACAGGTTCTGACAATTAAAGAATTTTCAGAATCCTGCCACAAATAAGCTACATATTGATTATTAACCATTTGTGACATGTCATAACAAGAAAAAATTTAAAAAACGAATAAGTAGGTTTAAAATTAATAAATACAAATGTATTCTGACAGTTTATGAGTTAATTATACTTTCTATTTGCAAAATTTCCTCAACCTTAACACAAAATAAGAAAAAAGTGAATTTTTAAAAAATTTGTGGGATTTCCTGGGAAGAGAAGAATTTTCCAGGTTAAAAAAACAGCCAGGATCCCGGGATCCCATTTGAGAAATCCTAACACCAACGTATTTTTATGACTTAACTCCGTCACACCTGAACCATTGCACCTTTTTCAAATCTCTCTTCAGCAGCATCATCTACAGGGCAAGAGATTTAATTTGATACTTGAACTGTTTGTACCCTCAGCTGTTCTCTCAGATGAAGTTGGACAATATTTGAGGCTTATCAAATTAATACACTGGACGACAAAAATAATAACGCACCATGAAGGACTTGTTGGATTTGAATAAAAATTGGTATTTTGCATCATCTTAGCTAGATATGTAAATGATTAGCTTTTGAGAGCAGGTTGTTGTGTTACATCACCACCAGAGGGAAAAAAAATGCTTCCGCTATCTGGTATAAAGGTGCATGCTGTGACGACTTGTGCATATGTTCTGCGCTTTTATTTGTGGTTTTGACTTCATTGAGTGACAGACATGCCTCTACGATGCAATCGACAACCTTACACTCAGTTAAGTGAGTTTGAGAGAGGTCGCATCGTTGGATTGAGAGGAGGAGGATGGTCATACCGCCGGATTGGCCGCCATCTGAACCGTTCTGATAGAACTGTTAGGATGTGTTATGAGCAGTGGTAAGTACGGGTACACACGAACGGCAAACGGGTTCCGGACGCCATCGACAGACCACCAGAAGGGAGGATCGTCTCATTGTACGTCAAGCACGGACAGCGCCTACAGCTTCATCATCTACCATTCATGCAGCGGTGGCACCTGCATTACGGAACCGTGTATCCAGCCGCACCATTTCCAGGCGCTTAGTAGAAGGCGGATTGATCTCCCGACACCCAGTACATGTTCTACCGTTAACAGCCACCCACCGACGCCTGCGTCTGCAGTGGTGTCATGCACGACAATCGTGGACAGCTACTGACTGGCAGCGCATTGTCTTCAGCGACGAATCCCGCTTTTGTTTGGGGGCTCACGATGGCCGTGTGAGAGTATGGCGGCCCGCTGGTCAAGGTGTCAACCCGGCCTATACTGTGGAGCGGCACACGGGTCCAACCCCCAGTGTTATGGTGTGGGGAGCCATAACATACGACAGTAGGACGCCTCTAGTTGTCATGCGTACTACCCTCACAGCCCAACGATATGTGCAAGACATCCTCCAGCCACATGTGTTGCCCCTCATGGCAGGGCTTCCGACAGGCATATTCCAGCAGGATAATGCCCGGCCACACACTGCAGCGGTCTCCCAAGCATGCCTACGTAACGTTGCCACACTTCCTTGGCCTACACGATCTCCAGATTTATCATTAATCGAACATGTGTGGAACCACCTGGGTCGCCAGCTGCGACAGCCACAGGATCTGACGAATCTTGAGTCCCAATTGCATCATGCATGGTCAGATATGCCTCAGAACATTATTCGCGACCTCTATGCCTCCATGCCGAGGCGTATCACAGCTTGTATCCGCGCTAGAGGCGGCCCAACAGGATATTAGCACCTGCACTGTATTGCATATTACTGCACAATAAAGTATGTTTTTGTTTTATGGTTGCAATCATATACCTGTCTAGCTATGGTGATGTCATATACCAATTTTTATTCAAATCCAACAAGTCCTTCATGGTGCGTTATTTTTTTTGTCGTCCAGTGTATATAGATACCATTCCTTTATATTCAGATAATACAGGTATGAATCTTCAGAAGTATCTTTAAATATTTTTGTAGAGTCACTTTTTATAAAACAATGACAAAGAGCAAAACAGAAGTAATATTTAGAAAGTCATCTGAAAAAGAAGTCTATATTTTCTTATAATTATGAGATAAAATTGTATTAGAAAAATCTTAAATTATGATTCTCTATGGTTATCATTGTCTAGATAAATTTTAATAACAGTGTAAAAAAATGATTAAACTGAAAACTTGAAAATGTGGAATACTAAACTGATATTCTAAACAAATTTTTAAAAACTCACTGGAAATATTTATTTAATTTACAAATTATCAGAAATATTTACATTCTTAATAATTATGTTAATATTTTAATATAGTGAGTAAAAAGGGGCTACACACAATTCTTACGGGTTTTTGCACTCAGTGAAATTGGCTGAAATTTTACTGTTTTTGAATGACTAATGAAGTCTCAACAACAAAGCTTGAAAATACTAATAATTTTGCTAGATCCATTCAACTATGCAAAAGGTGTACTGTACAACAAGGTGGTCACAAAAGTCTCTCCCCCCAGCCAATTATTTCAAAAAAATCAATCACCATAGATAAAAATTATATACTAATACTTTTTGAACTAAATGGCCAGAGAGTGATTTTTGTTACCACCTTGTATAAACAGCTCTCTTATATTTGACTTGTTCTAAGCAAAAAGATACTAGCCATTTTGCTTTGTACCCACAGAGAATTTTTCATCAGTCCACAACTGTATCATATTAAAATTTCAGCTAATTTCACTGAGGACCAAAACTGATAAGAATTGTGCAGGATCAATTCTATTAAAAAAATACATAAATGCAGTTTTAATGATGTTATTCAAAGTATAAAGATTCAATTCATTGCTGTAAAAGACTAATCATACTTGTTATTTTTTTTCAAATTACTAAATTCTGTTCAGTCATTTTCCTCAAATAATAATTTAATCATTTATATAAAATTAAAAAGTCATTTATTAACAAATAGTTTGACTGAAGAACTCTGTTCTAAGAATATAAATAGAAAAAATTTTTTTTAAATATTAGATAATCTTTTAAAACAAATATATTTCTATGGTTTTATTTTATCTTACTAATTTCAGAAGGTTACTAATTTTTAGGTTAAATGATTATCATTAATAACTGACAATAATTATTTTAGTACATTTTTTAATAATTAAATTAAATGTTTAATTCTCAAACTTACAAACAATACAAGACAATAAATGAAAATATATTTTTCTTTTTTTTTCCAGTTAAAAGCTTTTACAAAATACTTATTCTTCAATGAAGATGAAATAATTCTTTTATATTATCGGAATTGCAATAACTCTGCATGTTATAATTGAAAAGATATACACGCAAATATAAAAAAAATTAATGTTTATTCAATAAATACTAAACAAAAAATACCTGTTCTTTTTTTGCTTTTGCTCTTTCTAGTAAAACTAACTTGAAACATTGTCGATTGTAAAGAATAACTCTCGATAACACAGATAAATACATTGTAATAACCATTGGATAAGGCTAAAAAATACATTATAAAAACAAATTATGTATATCACAAATTCTTAAGTTTATATTTATTTCATAAATTGAATTAAATATTTACATACTTGGTTTTCTAAAACAAATGTTAATACTTGTAATAACATATACTGAAATAACTGAGGTCCTTCTTCAGGAAACACTTTGAAGACAAGTTCAATTAACTAAAATGATTATTTAAAAATATAAAATCCTAACAAAGCAATAAAATAAAAATATTAATCTTATATTTACTCACCCTCATTATCATGACAATACCTTCTGATCTTACATCAGAAATGAAACTAATACATGTGTCAACTAAATTTTTACTGTAATTCTGTAAAACAGATTTGTTTAATTTAATCTTAGAGACAGTATTTTAAAACTTCTGAAAAAGAAATACCTGTAAAAAGTCTTTTGGTGCAAGAAGTATATATGCTTGTGCAATTTGAAGACATATGCGTAAATTTTCCGTTCCCAATTCTGAAAGGAAAGAAAAATATTTAAGTTCTTTTCTTAAAATTTTTAAAATATTTCTCTACTATATTGATGAATATTAATTTACCAAACAGTGAGAAAAGATTCTGTGCAAGCTGTAGAAGATTGGGACTGCATACAGACGTATTTTCTAGAACTGCCCACCATAATTCTAAACCATCTTCCAACAAATAGACGTGAGGAGGTTCATTTACATTAGTGCTGAAAGCAATAACTGGTAATAAGAATGGATGAAGTTCTTCACTGAGTGTTCCCAATCCCTGTAATGTAAATTTGTTACCATAGGAATTAATAGCTACCAAATTTTATTTGTTTCTAGCATAATTAATAATTTTTACCTGTACTAAATGGACTAAATTTGTTATTATGGCACATCTTAACATATTATGGTCACCTGATGTTTCCCATAGTAAAGGAAGATAATTAACTAAATTTGCTGCGTGTGGCCTTATTTGACTTCCTACTCGTTCAATTATGAATGATAGAACATTCAGAAGATTCATCTTGAAAATAAAGTAGATTAAATATAATTAGAATAAATATTCTTCAATTCTTAAAAAGTGATAGTGTATCGTATAATAAAATTTGAATTATTTCATGTATACCAATTAATAACAGTGTAAAAAAATGATTAAACTGAAAACTTGAAAATGTGGAATACTAAACTGATATTCTAAACAAATTTTTAAAAACTCACTGGAAATATTTATTTAATTTACAAATTATCAGAAATATTTACATTCTTAATAATTATGTTAATATTTTAATATAGTGAGTAAAAAGGGGCTACACACAATTCTTACGGGTTTTTGCACTCAGTGAAATTGGCTGAAATTTTACTGTTTTTGAATGACTAATGAAGTCTCAACAACAAAGCTTGAAAATACTAATAATTTTGCTAGATCCATTCAACTATGCAAAAGGTGTACTGTACAACAAGGTGGTCACAAAAGTCTCTCCCCCCAGCCAATTATTTCAAAAAAATCAATCACCATAGATAAAAATTATATACTAATACTTTTTGAACTAAATGGCCAGAGAGTGATTTTTGTTACCACCTTGTATAAACAGCTCTCTTATATTTGACTTGTTCTAAGCAAAACGATACTAGCTATTTTGCTTTGTACCCACAGAGAATTTTTCATCAGTCCACAACTGTATCATATTAAAATTTCAGCTAATTTCACTGAGGACCAAAACTGATAAGANAGTCATTCTTCAGCTTTGAAGGCAAAATATATAAATCAAATTCATTGAGATAAATATTAATATAAAATAATTATAATTAAGACAAGGAACACATTTACTTTACAAAAGTAAAAATAAAAAATGTTTAATTTAATTATTAAAAAATGTATGATTTCAAATTTACCGGTAGGAACTGTTCAATGTTGAATTCAAAATCATCTACAGGTGCAACTGGTTAAGAATTTCAAACAATAAAAACAATGGCTATTACAAATACGTTTATTGTGCTCTCTAACACATACTACAATTGACAAACTGAGTTTACAATAGACTAAATTTTAAATAACAATAATAATTTAAAGTTTAAAAATTATTTTGTACATTCTATCATTGGACTTGTCTTTCAGATGCTATTTCACCATTACATAACAGAATTTATGTTATATATATATATAAAAGATTTCTATTAAATTATTGATAAAAATATCCCTGCATAATATTTTTGACCATGTTACCATATTTTAATAGAAATTATGAACCATAAAGTTATAATGCATCAATCTAACATTAACAATGGAGTTTTCTTTAAAATATTTTTAAACCAACATGCTTAAATCTGACATAACTAAAACCAAGTCACTATACATGAAAGAAAAAGATCGCATTTTCAATAATCTCCAATAAACCTATATAATAAGAGTTAATAAATCTTAAAAGTATGACTCAGCATGTGTTTTTAAAAAGTTTCTAGAAATAAAATTGTTATCAGTTCGCTCAATTAAAATTATAGATAAACGTTGAAAGAGCACTATCTGATCTTTTGTAATATTTCTTATGTATCAAATTTTTTCCAAAATTAACATTAATTTGTGTTAAAATTTTTCTTTATTTATTTTAATGGTAATGTAAAAATAAAATTAACCAATTCAAAGATAGCGTGTATACGTAAGGAAGAGGAGTCTCTATGGGTAGTCCGATCTCTGGTGACTTATGCGAGATGGTAATTAGACTACTCGAAGCTAAGCTCCTCCCACACCACCTTCACAACATCATTTTATATAAGAGATATGTTGACGATATTATCATATTGTGGAAAGAAATACCAGACATCAAGGCTTTCGTCGACACAATGAATAATAACACACATGGATTAACCATAGAAATAGAACAAGCGCACCAGACGAATGTACACTTCCTTGATATTGACATCAAGGTAGAAGAGTCGGTAATTCACACAGCAGTATACCGTAAGTTAGGAACAAAAGGCATATACATACCAGTAGGGTCATGTGACCCACTGCAATATAAAGTGGCACCATTTAAGGCCCTAATTAAGAGAGCGCACACACTCTTCTACTGAGCCAGCCCTACAATCAGAGCTAAGACTTATACAACGAATAGCCGCTGAACACGGATACGGCAAACTCGTACGCAAGTTATTGCATGAGTATCAAAGCACAACTCAAGACCTTGCGCAAAGAGAAGAACGACAAGATATGGATAAGATCATTCCAGTCAATTATAATCCGTATATTATATGACTATATGGAGAAATAGCTAAAAAGAAACACATATGTATAGCCTACAGAAGGTGCGCTTCGATCTTCAACATCCTAACCAATGGAAAAGATCAACCGGATAAGTATAAGCTGTCAGGGGTCTACAGCATACCAATTATAGATCACAGATGTGATAAAAACCTTCTGTATATGGGCTCCACCAAGTGATCCTTAGAGGTTAGACTCAAAGAACACGCTGCTGATATTCAGAAACAAAGGAGCACGACGGCCCTAGCAGTATATGCCTCCGATCCGGATATAGACCCTGAATTTAAGAAAGCAAGAATTATCCGCACCACACGGCACGTAAACCATATCAGATGGCTAGAGGCAGCCAGCATATACTTAGCTAACCTTAAGGATAATCAATGCATCAATTATAAAGAAGAGATTACGTTATCAACAGCGTGGCTAGCGTTTATGAATGGTAATTTATGATAGCCCATTTTGGAGTCAACTGCGCATGACATACAACGACAGAAACGGGAAACGTGCATTCGAACTTACATATTTCGAATTTAAAGTTTTTTACGAGCTGCATTTTCCATCAGAGATTCGAAAAAGCCTGAAGAAGAACCGTTATAAGGGTTCGAAAACGTTAGTTTTGGTTCGTTAAGAGTTAGTAGAAGCACCGGTAACAGGTTAGAAAGAGTTATATTAAAATTAACCAACTTTGTAATAATATGAATAAATTGCAACAAAAATAAAAATACTTGGAAGAACACTAGGTTCATTGTTTCTTGGTTGCAAATTGCACTCACTGTATGGGCCTGAATTTGTTGAGACCAAATTAAGCCATACTTGGATGAATTTTATCAAAAAAGGTAACTATTTGTATTCATAAAGACAAACAACCCAAATAATTCAATACAACAATTAAATCTTGGCCATATCATACTCTGTAGCCTTATATAATCTGGCATTAGTTATTTGTTTTACTACATGTATAGTAACTTCTACAGTACAGAAGTTTAAGCATGGTGATAAAATTACATTACTGAGAATTACATTACTATCTTTATGGGATTACTATAGGTAAAATTTCAATATAACAGCAAATTGTTACATTAAAATTTAACCTGCATTAATTCTATACATCAGCATATATATATTATAAGAAACTTATCAGAAATACCTAAAAAAACAATTATCATCTTAACAATATCAAGAAAATATCATCAAAATACTCATGGACAATGTTATATAGGCTTTAGTATAGTAAATAAGAAAGAAAGATGTGAAACTAACTGTATAAAGAATAATTTTAAATTATATTTTTCAATGTTTTTAACATACATCAAATCTATTACAAGTTCCTTACTTTATATGAAATATCAAACAACATTTATACAAACTGCACAGACAGTTCTATTAATTTTACTCAATAAGACAGTCAATATCTAGAAAAGAAATATCTAATAAAATATTAAATTTTACCCATATATTGTCTATATTTCTTATAAATAATTTTTAATATAAAATAAATCTCAAACATTCAAATTCTTTGACTATATTGACACAACCACTTTATGTATCAGAGAAATAATATTTATTATCCTACAAACATTTTCTACCTGCTCATCAGGTATATTTGAAATTTATGGAATGTTTCCTTGTATCTGTTTCAGTTTGAATGCTTATGTGCAACCAAAATTTCTGTATCCGTTCAAACAATTTGAATTTTGTGAATACAAATATGAAAGGGTGGACCACAGCATAGTTGATAAATTGGACAAGAAGGTAAAAAGGTTAGAGAGATCACTCATTGCTGCTATCTTTCCATTTCTCAAAGGAACTGGTATCACAGGCCCAGGTGTACCTAGACTGTTCAAATTTGCAAAAAAACACAAGAATAACAAGGAGATCAGACCTGTGATCGAAAAATGTAAAGAATCAACATATAAACTTGAGAAGCACCTCCATGGATATTTATTGGAATGTATGGAAAATAACCATTTTGTCACAAAGAACCTACTAAGCTTAGTTAATGAACTCCAAAATGTATCTTTAATGGATGAAGAGATCAGTACAATCATGGACTTTGAATGTCTATATCCGTGAATAAAACTAGATAAGTGTTATCATGCCTTAATGGACACCTTACGCATGTTAAACCCAAGTGTGATGGCCTACCCTGAGGATATGGGGATGCTTGCTGACTTGATATGTTTCCAGTCATTCTTCAGCTTTGAAGGCAAAATATATAAACAAAGGAAAGGTGTGCCCATGGGCAGCCCGATGTCCAGTTTACTTTGTGAATTGGTTCTATGTAGATTAGAACAGATTACAATTAAGAATTTTAAAGATGAAATAATCTTATACAAAAGATACCTAGATGATGTATTCATTTTATGGAAGAATGACAAAAGAATACAGCATTTTTTGAAGGAGATAAATTCCAATGAGGATGGCTTAAAACTGAAATTAGAGCAACTTAGTAAAATAGAAGTGCATTTTTTAGACATTAACATTGCATTTGAAAACATTTCCTTAAACACAAAGATATATATTAAACCTATTCACGACCCATTATACATTCCTTCCTCGTCCAATGATCTGCCTGCTTACAAATTGTCAGCATTTAGGGTTTTTATTAGAAGGGCGTTTAATTACGACAGGTGGCAGAAGTTAGATAGGATCAGAACCATTGCTGGATCCTTAGGATTTAAAACAGAAATTGTTGAAAAGTTAATAAGATCATACTTGGTACCTAATAAAAAGAAGGCAAAGAGAATACAAACAAAGAAATTGCTAAATTCACATATAGCAGAGGAATGTCCAATATCATGAAGGAAGTAGCCAAATACAAGAGTACAAGATTAATATATAAGCAGGCTCCAATGATTTATAATGTGCTTAGAAACGACAAGGATAGGATAAAGAGGGAGGAACAGTCTGGGGGTACAGAATACCATACAAAAATGATCAACTAGGAATAAATAAAGAATATATTGGTGTCACCACCAAGAGGTTGAGTAAAAGACTTAAGGAACATGTGTATGATATAAATAAGGGACACTACAATACAGCACTATCCAAAGTGACACAAACAGAAGGTTCAGCGATTGACTGGAATGAAGCTAAGATTATTAGACAGGTGTGCTCACCATCTTTAGTAATGACTTTGGAAAAATTTGAAATATATAGATCCGGCAGTACAGGCAAATGTTTAAACTATAAAGACGCCACAAATTTACCAACTGCGTGGAAGTATATGATTGATAATAACCCAGTATAATATGTTATACAACACGCACTCGGTCCATATAATTAGGTTTATTATATGGATATATTTTATTATGTTAATTTACATTATTTTGTTTTATTGTATTTTATGTTATTTTACTTTACTTGGATCCATGTATTTAGTTATTTTCTATTTATCTTTTATATACAGTAGAGCGTCGTTTATCTGAAAGCTGGTTATCCGAAACGTCCGTTATATGAAAGCATTCCAGTCTACAAATTTAAATTTTCGCTAGTGCNGTAGAGCGTCGTTTATCCGAAAGCTGGTTATCCGAAACGTCCGTTATCCGAAAGCATTCCAGTCGGCAAATTTAAATTTTCGCTAGTGCTGTGGCGCTGCAATCTTCGGCTATTTCTCGGGCTACTCAAATATTTTACGTTTTTGATACTAAATTAACATCTGAAGTATAATTTTTTATTGTTTTTATATTTTTCAATAAATTTATTTTGTTTGTACAAAATAAAAAAATAATTTTTAATGATACAATAGTCTTCGTTAGGCTTAACATCGACGAAAATTCAACGCAAAGCGACACGCAACGGAGAGAAATTTCAATATGTATATTTATTGAAATTTCTCTCTGTTGCGTGTCGCTTCGGAGAGAATATATTTTTTCGTACATGATTCGTTATCCGAAAAATAAGTTATCCGAACCACCCCAGTCCCCAATTGATTCGGATAAATGACGCTCTACTGTATTTATATTTAAACGAATGGTTCGAACAGATACAGAAATTTGAATTTTGGTTGCACATAAGTGTTCGAACTAGAACAGATACAAGGAAACATTCCATAAATTTCAAATATACCTGATGACCTGTGGAGCAGGTAGAAAATGTTTGTAGGATAATAAATATTATTTCTCGGATACATAAGGTGGTTGTGTCAATATATAAAATAAATAATTTCTTATAAATCATTTTTTTGAGAATACTTAAACAGCAGTTTATATACTGAAAAACTATTTTCAATAGTATATTTAATGAACAAATTCCCTTGTTATATATTATTTACATGTTCTGCATATTAAAAGTCCTTAATATAAAATAAAAATATTAACTAAATTAAAATATTTTTCAGAAAGGATATCAACTCTGAGAGTATTTGCAGATGCTAATCTAACAACAAGATCTTCCTTAGAATCTAGAAGTGGCAAAATTATTTCATACAGAGCCGGTCGTAACTCAGGTGATAACTTGACACCTACCCACTGTCCGGCCACCCAAATAACACGTCTTCTAATAATTCGGTATCTAAAAAGACAACTTCTTACTGAAGACATCTTATAAAAGTATGAAAATTATCTTATTTCATTACTTACCTATCTTCTTTGATTTTTAATTCAGGTATAAGAACTTGCATAAACCAATTATCAAAATCGACATCATCAAATAAATCAAAAGCTGCAAGACCGACAGCATTATAAACTGGAAAAAAGAAAACAAAAATTAATGTAATTTAGTAATAATTAAAAAAATAAATAAATAAATAACAGCCAGTATCATCTTACCTGCATCTTTTTGTAAAATTACTTGTAAGTCTGTTGTACTTGTCATAGTTTGCATTTTCTGAATCATTTCTAATAATAATGGTATTAATGACTGACGAAATTCATGGAATATTGTTAGAAACAAAACTTCTGTACAGGGCTGAAAAAATTACAAAAAGTGTCTTCATGTAAAATCTATATCATCATAGTTATAAATAAATAAATTTATAAAGATTAAAAAAATATAAATAAACTTAGTCATTAGAGCAATTTTGAATGAATATTTTGGCTATAGAAAAGTATATGTTTGAGATGCTAAATAGGAATATTATCTGCCAAATTAAATACTTTCTCAATCAGTAAATCTTATGTTCTACTTAATAGCATATAATCATAGCAGCCAAACTATGGCTTGCAAACCACATATGGCTCTTCTAGACCCTTACTGTGGCTTCTAAATAAGTTATATACATATAACTTATTTAAAATATAAAAATACAGTTTCAATAGAGAATGTGACTCTTGTATTTCTGATAGGTGAAACAAGAATCCTGTCGTGACAAGGTTTGGCCAGCCCTGTCATATTATGACAAAATAACAAAACAGCTTGCTCTAAGAAAATCAGTAATACATACACAGACACTTTGAAACAATACTGCAATACTTTCTTTAATGTCAATTTTATAAACAATGTGTATTTATTTTATTTATTTAAAATAAAATTGACATTAATCAAAATTCCAAAGCAATCAATTTTTTTGGCATTTGAGCAATTATAGAATCATATTACTTATACCATAGAGAAAGTCAAGTCAAGAAGACTGAATATACATATTTATAGACAACAAAAATACTTATTTTTAATCATAAGAAAACAAAATTTCTAGGATGATCTCATTTAAAAGAAAATGGAATTAGCTATTTCATTGCCAGAACAAAAAATTGTTCAGTTTAATTTGATCCATTTGTTACTACATAAAATAAGCTATTAGCTGTATAATAAATGTTATAAAAATTGTTGTTCTTTTATAAGATTAAATTCACTAAGATATAAAAAAAACATAAAAGTGATATACCATATAAATCTTTTATATTTGTAAGTTTTTGATCCAAAATGATTTTGTCCATATTATCAGTTTTTTCAGTAATCTAGGGCACTATTAGCCCCATAAACTCAGATAATAATTGGGGTTTTACTTTTCTATAAATTCTACTTAACTTTTTTAATATCATTTTGATTATCTCTCAAACTATTTACTCATATTGAAAGAAACATTTCTGTCCAATCTATGAACCAATATGTTTTAAATCATCATTTGAAATCATTAAATCTTTAATCATTAAATCATTAAATATGTAGTAACAAATGGATCAAAAGTATCAATTAAATCATCATTTGATTTATAAGAAACTTCAAATGAAAACAAGCTATGCCTGTATGTAAATATTTATATGAGTTTTTCAATTATATTCATGTTTATTGTTTTTAGCCCTTACCTTACTCTTAAATTTTAAAAAAATCCCAGAAAACACTTCTTTTTTCATCTTTTTTTTTTAGGCCTATTGTATACTTAATACAAAATACTGAAAATATATTTTTAGGTATTTTTATGCACTAGAAAATGAAAAAAGCTGTGATTCATTTTAAAAGTGATATTTATTTATGGCAGTGGCCTCGAAGATAACCCAACTTGTAGCAAGATATGCCCATAATAGTCTTTGTTACTAATGTAAATTGTTACTAATAATTACCCTATATTTGACATGATTTCATAAATAAATAATAATAAATTTAATCACTAATCATAAAATATATTTCTAAATAACATTAACAGTTGACAATCTATTTACAAAAATAAAAACAAAGTATCAATGAAAATGAAAGAATTATTTTTCTCATATCTGATAAGAGGGTGATTAATAATTATTAAAAATTCTCACATAAAAAGTTATAGTAGTATCTATTGATAGACTATATAAATCTATATAAATTCTAGTTACTGCAATTACCATATATAATCAGAACAGTCAAGCATCACAAATTTTCTATTTTAATGAATAAATTTTAAAAAATTTAACATGGAACAACATGACAAATAATTAATCAATTCTAGATCAATATACTGATTTAAAAAACTAGAGGGGAAAAATCTGCAATAATTACTCTTGATTTTAAAGGTTACTTAATTAAAATGTTTATTAATTGTTCTTATTAGAAGATGCATTAAAATTTGAACAGAGAATTATATTAAAACTGGCAGACAACCTGTGGTACTTGCAGAATAAAGCAAATTCCTTATATCAGGGTCACACATTTCTTTGTAAAGTACAAAAAAAATGTGTGACCCTAATATAATGGATTTGCTTGGCACAGATGGCTTGTCACTGAACCTGACAATAAATTGTTGCAAAAAGTTTCTTATCAACTCCCTATACAAAATGAGGAGAAAATTTTAGAATTTTGGAACCCATATCTCTAGAATGAATCATCAGATCAGTAAAAAAAATGCTCATCTCATTGCACATCTCAAACCCATCCTTGTCTAGTGATACCTAATTCATTCAAATCTGACAAGAAATCTGGGAGGAGTTTGGCTAACAAAAATCTCCTTAGCATTATATATATATATATATAATGCTAAGGAGATTTTTGAATTTTAAGGAGAAATATATATATATATATTTTATTTTATGAACAATTTTATTATGATTTATTTTTGTGTTAAATAAATTTTTAATGATTTTAACAATCATTTGATTGTGATTGTCGTGTTGTGTGTTAAACAAATTTAAATAGTTTTAATACAATAATCATAAAAAATTGATTCCATATGCATAATTCTATACATTATACATAAGAAATCAATTTGTACATATAGGCAATCAATTGTTTTATATGTTTAATTTCTTTAATATTAATAACACAGAAATATTTCAAAGTTTTAAGTAAATATTATCATTTATTCATAAAATTTTACTATTCATCTTACCCTTAAACTAAATTTCCATGCTTCACCACCTTCATCAGCAGCTGTAAGAAAAGCATTAATCAAATAACAATAAAATTATGAAATTTAAAAAAAAAAAA